TCGAATCATCGATCTTCCGACACTCTCACGTTGTAAAGCATAGCGGATTTATAACGGTGGCGCGCCTCTCATAGTTTTACGAGCGAGCAACACGATTGGCCAGCGAGCTTGGGGAATTTATCGACGTAGGATTAACTACGCAGTTGCGTGATCGCCCCCTCCCCCCTTAATTCCCTATCGGGACTCTGGACGATTCTTATCCACAGAGGTGTAGAGAGGGCTTTTGATCGAATGTTCGCGTGTTAAGCGAGGTCATCGCGAATCTTTTGCGCGCTTCAAGTGGATTACTCCGTTTAGAGTCCGTACTTCCGTCCCGTACACCTGCATCCGCATGTCTTACGAGGAAATTAACTTAATTAAGAAATTACTGCAAGGAAAAAAAATATTTATCTGAAACAGCGAAAATTTTCACTAGAATAGAGAAAGATTTAACTAAAACAAATAAAACTTGTTCAGAAAAAATCAAAATCGGTAAATATATATAAAAATTTTCCATCGATAATTTTGAAAATTATGTGTTCTACAACAAATAAAAATGAAGATTGCGGTAAAGAAGAAAGAACGTTTGAGTTGAACATTCTCGCTATACGATAAAGCTTTCCAGATTTAATTCCCCGTTTATTTATCTTACCGCGTTTGCCTCACAAGTTCTGAACACGCGTATATAGTCTAGACCGTCAATCTAACATTTACAAACTGCCGCAAATGTTACAGTTCCATTGGCGTACATTTAAAACAGGAAATGCCTCTGACAAACAAAGATCTCTTGCAATTATTCCAATTTGCAATATATTATTGTCTTTAGAGCAACAAACGAAATGGTAAATTATTTTTGTTAAAACCAGAAGTGACCTACATATGAGCGCTACTAAATTTACATTATTTTGAAATTTTGCCTACAAAAATTTTACATTTAATCGTAAATTCAAACAGATTTTTCCCAATCATATTTAATGAGATTTTATCTATAATGTAAAAAAAAGAAGGAGTTTGACCCAATTGTATATTAAAGATATAAAATGACTGTGAAAACGAAACATCTGTTTAAATAAAATCAATAAAAAGTTTGATTAGGTCAGTAATCTTATCGGAATACATTGTATGATGCTAATAAGAATATTATTTTTATCGTGCCATTAAATAAAAAGAAAAAAAAATTATTTTAGAAAATTTAAACTGAAACCTGGTGCTTCTACTAAAATTACATGTGTGAAACTTGGAAATTCTGGTTTTACACAAAACCCTCTTTACTTTCCATGAAGTTGAACAATTTGAAGCTACAGTCTCTAATTTCTGGAGAATTTAATTTCAAATTACATTTGTATTAAAAGATTTTTATTCAGAGAAAAATATATAATATTCGACATTCAATGTATATATTGATTAAAAAAAAAAATCTTTATCTGGAACTTTATTTAGAGCAGCAAAAACTTTCGCTGTTTCAGGTGAAGATTTTTGTCAGCTGAATAAATGGAGAAAAACTTTTTCAGTGGAAAAAATCGATTTTCAATGAAAATGCCAAATCACAAATATATACCAAAAAGACCGTTTACACAGTGCAGTAATTGAGAATTCCGGAGTGGAATTTAAGAGACTTCTGTTTTGAACAACTTTAGATTCTTCCAGTCTGTTTGGTATGTACACGTCGAGTGTACACTGTACTGGCAGCGAAATCGAAACAATGGATTCCCCATTTCGATGCAGCACCAGTCGCGCGGCAGTGTGCTTCCGCATTTCCATGTGTGTAAAATGCGTTGGTTTCGCTTATATATATATATAGAGTAAACTATATACATTCGTCGGCCCTCTTCATAAAGTCATAACTCAAGCGAACCCCCGGCGCATCTCTCGGCATAACATTTAAAACGATTTCCGCTGGCAGCGGTGCCAAGACCATAGCAGTGTTGTTTCGGGGATAGATTAACGAAACATAACGCCAGTAGTCGTAGGGACTTCCAAGGGGTAGCTTGGATAATGGGACGGGGCGTGTTGGCACTGCTTTGGCAGTTAAGCAACGTTCAGGTCCGAAACTAGTAAATTTTGGAGCCCCGCTTTAACACCACAACCCGCCATGAGTATCTTCCTGCGATATTTATATATATATATATGTGCCTTCCAATTGCTTTTTTATATATCGGTAAAGGATTCATTTTTTATTGTTCCATGTCGTTATATATAAAGTTTTATTTATTTATCATATTTATATAACAGTTTGTATAACGTCCAGGATAAATTCATTTGCGATATGAAATAAAATGTAACGAGAGTAGTAAAAAAAAAAAAAAAAGTTATTGATGGTCCAAACTGCACCCAAATTTGATGACAGATTTTAAATATTCAAAATGGCGGATCTAAAATGGCAAACAAATTTCTAAAAATTGACTAAATTCGCTTGTAATTTGCTACTTAGGGCTTTTTAGGATCGCTGAGAACGAATTTGAAGTTGGATTTTCGAAATTCAAAATGGCTCATCCAAAATGGCGGACGAATTTCTAAAAATTAACTAAATTCGCTTGTAATTTGCTACTTAGGGGTTTTTAGGATCGCTGATAACGAATTTGGAGTCAGATTTTTGAAATTCAAAATGGCTGATCCAAAATGGCGGACGAATTTCTAAAAATTGACTAAATTCGCTTGTAATTTGCTACTTAGGGGTTTTTCGGATCGCTGAGAACGAATTTGAAGTTGGATTTTCGAAATTCAAAATGGCTCATCCAAAATGGCGGACGAATTTCTAAAAATTACCTAAATTCGCTTGTAATTTGCTACTTAGGGGTTTTTAGGATCGCTGATAACGAATTTGGAGTCGGATTTTCAAAATTCAAAATGGCTGATCCAAAATGGCAAACAAATTTCTAAAAATTGACTAAATTCGCTTGTAATTTGCTACTTAGGGGTTTTTAGGATTGCTGATAACGAATTTGGAGTCGGATTTTCATAATTCAAAATGGCTGATCCAAAATGGCAAACAAATTTCTAAAAATTGACTAAATTCGCTTGTAATTTGCTACTTAGGGCTTTTTAGGATTGCTGATAAGGAATTTGGAGTCGGATTTTCGGATTTTTTTTGATGACAGATTTTAAATATTCAAAATGGCGGATCCAATATGGCGATAAAATTATTTTAATTTGATCAGATTCGCTGGAAACTGATACAAATTTAAAATTTCATCAAATTTGGATTCAGCTACTCCAAAAACCACTGGGTAACAATTTTCAAGCAAATCTGAACAAGTTTGAAATATTTTTAGAAGCCATATTGAATCCGCCATCTTAATTTTTGAATTCAAGGGAATTTTTTTTTTTTCATGTAATTCTCCCGAGAATGGGGTGATTAATACCGTAGTATCGAACCTTTGTTGTTATAAAAAATACGAATCTATTTTTTTTAAGTTTTTTATAGTTTTATCAAATTTTTATAATTTGATTACAATCGACAAATATATCACTTGTGTAGCTTTAGGATAAAAAAAAATCCTCAAATAATGTTTTCTATTTCAATGAAATAGTAATAAATTGATTTCGACCATGTTCCATGTTGTAACATCGTTATACAAAATTCATGTAAAATTTTACTTTGATTTTTTTTTTTTGTAGAAATACTATTCATGTTGGCAATACAAAAAAAAACAATAGACAAATTTCCATAGAAGTTCTTTTATATTTTGTGTATCACGTTTGTTCAATTAGTCGAAATAAATATTTATCTCTAAATTGGAAAAAAAAATATTGCACAACAAACAGAACTTTGATCTTAAATCCACTTACATGTATATATTTATAAGTAAATTTTAGATCAAAGTCATGTTAGTAAAGAAAATTGATATTTTTTTACCCCTGAAACTTTTTGGCTAAATAAAAATATGCCAGCCCTGGCATTTGCCGAAACATGGAAGTAGAACGAACCACCCCCTACTCTAACTTTTCTTCCTAACTACCCTTTCGGCGTTAAGAGATTAACTTGTCGCACAGAGCTATTTTAATATTCGTAGCTGTGTTGAGATAAGTGATGGGCACGATACTAAACAAGCAAAGTCCTTGGAAATATGTATGAAACCCATTAATATTATTATTATTATTTGTCTGGAAAAATTGTCCAAGATAATTTCATGAAATAAATGTCAAAAATAGATTAAAATTTTTTTTAAATTATTTTCCTATATTCTTTTAGTATTTTTACATTTTGAAAATAATTTTCAAACGAAAATTTAAAAAAAAAATTCAAATCTATCAAAATTAAAAATGTTCTCCATAAAAAAAAAACAAATTGGAAAATTTAAATACAAAAACGAGTATAGAGATATTCCATAGTATTTATTTAAATTAAATAGATATATAATAGATTTTCAGATTAATCAATTTACAATATAGAGCAGTTTCAATAACTTTGAGAATTTAAATGTGAAATGCATTTACAAATCAATCGTTTTCAAGAGAAAATCGTTTCTCTTTGAAAATTCGCAGGATTTAATATATATCAATGTTCAAAAGCTTTCAATTTTCAATGAGTTTATTCTCAGTGTGCTCTATTTCAACTCAAAAAAAAAAAAAAAAAAAAAAAAAAAAAAACAATGAAATCTAACCATTTTAAAATTAAAAGCTTTTACACTCGCAACTTTATATAAACCACTTTTGTTTGTAATTTCTCAATCAAACATTATTATTTACCTATAGCAAACGTTTTCAAAAGAAATGCAACGAATTTACTTTATTAAGCTTTTATATATATAGGTTTCAAACATTTGCTGAATTTCGTAGAAAAAAAAATAGACAAAATTTAACCAAACAAGTTAAAATATTTTTTCATCTATTTTTTACCTCCAGTTAAAATTAAAAAAAAAAAAATTTTTTTTTAATTGTATAAATATTGGTGTGTGAAAATTTTTGGAAAACTCTTGAAAACGGCAGTTGTACGCGAGGCAACATTCCACAACTAAAACTTTAATCAGCAAAAAAGTTTCACCGACTCATGTGAGTCACGATAACAATGAGAAACTTACCCCTGGTAAAGTCCGCTTCTCATGAAGAACGTTCTGGGCGCTGATTGCACTGTCACGAGTATAGTAGGTCAAAAACGCGCACCCTGAAACATACAAGTACGGGAGTTCGTTAACGACCGCATTGTTACTTAATTACATATTATTCATTAACCCCCCCCCCTCTCTCTCCCCCTCTAGATTGCAACACCTAATTAACCAAAGTTTTACAATTAAAATCAGCAAAACTCACTTTTTCTCTTTAATTTCTGGTTGCCCGCATTACAGTCACTTCATTATATGGATTTACTTGTTTATCATAATAATGAATTATTTTTAATATGGCAAATTAGAAAAGTGACGCTGAAAAAACCAAAAAAAATTTGAATTTTGTTATATAAGAAAAAAAATTATGCATTTTTAATTTTTTTTTCTTCCTCTTAAATTGAGAGAAAAAAATAATAAAACGTAATAAGAATTTAAAAGCGAAATTTTCCTTTAATTTGAGATTTTTTTTTTGATATTAGAAAAATATATTTAAATTGTAAAAATTTTTGCTAACAATTTTCTAAGTGATGGCAAACAGTTTATAAGGTGATACGTTGAGAAATACCCTTTCAAGAAACAAAAGTATTCTTGATAAAGTTTTAAAGACTTTTAAAATTACTGTAATTGCAAATTGTACTTTTGCAAGTATTTCACTTATCCTGAAAACGAATTCGTAATCTGTACAACATTTTTCTGAACTGTATTACGTGCACAAGTCACTTAGAGCCTTATAAAATTAAGCGCTTTTAACTCATATGACTATTATATAATTACAGGGAGAAAAAATAGTTTACAAAATTTTTTTTATACATAGAACACTATTTTCTATGTAATAAATTCAAAGGCTTTTGTAATTAACCAATGTTTTTGTTAATAAAAAAATTAATATTATAATTTTTTATATTAGAGAAATAAGAAGAAATTTTTCCATATTATGTATATATATGTATATTTTTTTTTTATATTTACTGCTTTTTAAAACGACTTTTAGGTTATAGTATCTTCATGTTTGCGAAATACTTTCATGCATTTTTCCCGAAGCTCGTACAGCTCATTGCACACACGACGAACGAAAGGCGCTCCTCTGCAAAAATATCAATCTCCAACGTTTCGCGATACGCGATTGGTTCCCTTCCGGGATCGAGTTTTGTCAATTTATCTCGAGAGAGATCCTGCGAGAAAGCAAAATGTTTACCGGAAGACTTCTATATCTATCAGATTCATCGTTACGAACCAAGTTTCAGGGAATCAAGAAAAATGAAATCGCAATTCAACTTTTCATCACATTTCATCAAAAACTTTTTTGCAAATCTTTCTTTTATCAAATGGAATTTTTTTTTTTAATAACTATTTTCGGTATATTAAATCATGATTAAATCACAACTTTTAATGTGACAAGTTACAAAATTGAAAATTTTTTTTTATGTATAGAAGATGTAAAATAATATAATTTTTTTTTTGTCAAAAAGAGAAATATTCGAAATTTTAAGCTTAAGAACGAGAATATGACAGCGGGTTAAAATGATAGTAATTAACCTTTGAATTGGATGAAGCACTGAACCAGACAATTATCGACTATCGCATATACTGTCGAGCAATCCTCTTGCACCGCCTTCTATTATTGAAATGATTTATTAAAAGTGATTGTCCCAAACTTCTATATTTGTCCTTAAAATACAAGCGAGTGACATCCATTTAATTACTGATTATACGTCAAATTTTTAATTATTTCTAGTTATATTTTTCAACAATAATAATAATATTAAATATGCCTCTAAACATTTTATAATTGAATTATTCACTTTTGACACAAAAATAATTTAAAGATCCTTTAACTATGATTTAACTATATATTACAAAAAAAATATTTATTTTTTACACTTTAGTGAGAAATAACATTTAACAAATGAAAAATGATTTTGTAACTTGATAACTTCAAGTATTATATATTTGATGCCGAGACGAAAATATAATTTGCACAAAAAGGGACAAATATTAATTTTTGTTTTTAAGTAACAGAAAAGAATTGTCTTTGAATCAAACTTTTTTATGTCTCTTTATTGTTCAAGTCAATTTTTGTTAAACAGACACTAAAAAAATTTAGCGATACGAAAAGAAAATTGAAAAATGATTCTCCACATTGGGCATATATTTATTTTTTTTCATATTTTGTGCTATGTCTTTTAATCGATGATTTGACATATATATATCTTTCAAAAAGTTCACGTGTGCGATGAAATGCGATTCGGTGGACCCGATGTCGAGAACTAAGACATTTTAATCTTCCCGAACAATGCAATTTCGCGGCAGCAGGTGCTGCAGTCGCGCGGGTAGCAGTTTTTCTTGGGAAGAAGTTACAAGGAGTAAAGTGAAGAGGCACGTAATTTGTCATGTGGTACGTCCTACGCGTGGTTTAGTTTATCTTCTCAGTATATGACATTTGTGTGAAAGTGCTAGATAAAAAAAAGAACTAAAATAAAATTCTTTACAAATTTAAAATAAAATTTTTTGTTAATCAACTGTTTTCATTGAAATGCAATTTTTATATCGAGATAAAAATTGTAATTCAAAGTTTTTTTAATTTAATTTAATTTGAATATAAACAATTATATGAAATGATAATTCAAAAAAGAACAAGATTAAATATTCACTCGAAAGTATTTGAAAATAAAAATTTTTTATTCAAAACTGTACAATTCCTGCAAAATCATATATTCTAAGTAAATCCACAGAATATTCTTTCACGATATATCTATACTATATTCACACTGAGAAAAATGTTTAGTCAGAGCAACCAAAATTTGGTTGGGCCAATAAAAAATTTTTGTTGGTATTTAAGCAACCAAAGTATTTGTTTGCGTCAACCAAAAAATTTGGTTGAGTGTTTTTTGTTGGCATAACAAAAATGTTTGGTTAGCTCAAGCAAATTTTTTTTGTTAGGTCAACAAAAATGTTTGGTTGATCAAACAAACAGTTTTTTTTAAATTAAAAATTTTATTCTACCTTATCTCTTTTATTTTTATCTTTTTCATTTATTTCATTATTTATTTATTTATTATCAATTTAACATTGAATTTATATTTATCCATATGAAATATTTGTGGACTTTGAAAAATCTCATCTCCGCCTGGGATCGAACCTCTGTTAGGACAACAAACGATCATTTGGTTTTTTAGACCAAATTATTTTGTTGTGTTAACCAAATTATTTTGTTGTCGTAACCAAATTTTGGTTGGAATTTTAAAAATGTTCAACCAAATAATTTTGTTGGCCTAACCAAATGTTTGGTGTTGAGATAACTCTACGAATTTGTTTCAGACAACCAAAATTTGGTTACAAGAACAAAAATTGCCTATCCAAACAATTTTGTTGCAAACACTAATTTCTTTTTTTCAGTGCAAATACCAAAAAAAGAAATAAGGTCAACTTTTTTTATTTACGATTCTTATCTTAATTGTGCAGTGCGAAACTTGCATTCTTTTTTTTTCATAGTTCATGCAACCCAAAATAGATTAATAAATTCATGAAAATAAAAGAAGAGAAAAAAGCTTGAAGAGAATTTTGTAACGTATGCGCTTGAAAGAAGGAAATGATGATAAGATAAGAAGAAAAATTAGTTCTTGGAAGAAAATATAGTAAATTACTGACTATTAAAGCCATCGTTTTCAAGATTCAGTGTCAGTGACGAGAGTTTCATTTCCATGTCAGTATTTTCTGGTTGACTTTATCCTTTGGAGTCTTCATTCGAAATGCTTCTTGTCAAGTTAAGTAATCGTTGGCGATTAGATGAGACGATTTCAAGAAGCTTTATTTGAAAACTCCGTCGTTTACTTAAGTCAGTTCAGAAGACGCAAAATGAATTGACTTTACAGGTAAATATAATGGGTGGAATTTTCAACTTGAATTCTTGTTATAGTAAACTTTCGTCACGCTATTTTAAAATTAAATGATAAAAAAAAACCTCTCAAAAAAAAAGATTAGACAAAGTATATATGCAAGCAAAATTTGGAAATATAAAGAAAATATATTTACAAAATAGACATGAATTTTTCGTAAAAGTTTACTAAATAAAAAAAAATTAAATTTTATATATTAAATATTTCCATTTGAAAGAGATTAAAAATCACTGTCTAAAATTTGTAGATAATGAAGCTTAAATCACATTAGCGATTGAGTGAATAATTAATGAGGACTTTTAACCATGACGTCGATTCATATCAAAAGTGAAATTATAATATATGCAATTATTGTGAAAGGCATTGTAACAAGGGAGGTTGGTTTAAACCCCCGAAGGCAAGAGAGGACCCAAGAGCAAAATTAGATTTCATATTAAACAGTCTCGATATTAATTACTGATCCTGATGTATAGCGGTTAGCATTTGGTGTAAATTTGAAACATTTGCATTAAACATGCATTTCATTAATGTGTAATAGTTTCAAATTGTGAATAAAGAAAGTAATCTTTGATAGTAATAAATCAACAATATAGATACGAAAATGATGTAAAAATAAAATGTTGATTTTAAAATTTACAATTCGTGAAAGTTCAAGAAAAAGAGCAATTGAAATCTTTGAATTAGTAGTAAAGTACTGATTTAGTCAGACGTAACGTTAATTAATTTTTTTTTAAATTCTACTGTCAGTAGAGAAATCCAGAATCAGTCAGACATCGCAGTTTTTGTTTCTAAAATAGTTAAAAGTAGTAATAGATAGTTTGAGGGGAAAAGATTCATGTTATTGTAATTTTTGTATTAGTAGAGAAACGCAGTTTTAGTGAAACAAAACTTTCTAAATTCTTGTAAGTCTGCTCTCAGTAGTAACAGACAGCATTAGTCAGACAAAGCAGTTTTATTTCTTGAAATAATTAAATAAGTAGTAGTAGATTAGGTCTGGTAGAAAGTTTCAAATTATTTTAATTTTTGCATTAGTAGTAAAACACCATTTTAGTCAGCCAATTTTTTTATAAATCCTTGTTTATACTGCTTTCAGTGGTAAAATTTAGATTTAGTCAGACAACAAAGATTTATTTTTTCAAATAGTTAAATTAGTATTACTAGAT